CCCAGGGAGAGGACTGTGAACTGCCAATAACCATCCAGGCCCCACAAAAAGACAGATGCCAACTCGAACAGGAAGATTGGCCGAAGCAATCGTGACAGTACCAACTGTCGTACCTGCGGTACAGCAATCCTGTAATCATTGCTGCCATATTGCCGTCGTCTTTCCGTTGCCTCAGCCTCTGTAAGCCCCTCCTGTCTGCGCTGGCACAGAACAAGCAGTGTCTCACTCTGCTGCGGGACAGCAGCCGCAAGCAGGTTTGTGCCTCTTGTGCCCATTTCGAGCAACTTGTATTGCTGTCCATGGTATCTGAAGCGCAGTTCAGAACTCAGGGGCCATAATCTTCGAAGTGCAGCTTTTCCAGGTTCTGGAAGCACCAAAACCCAACTTCCCGAGCTAGCCTTTGCAGTGCGGCAAAAATCTAAACAACATCGTGCCCATGCAGAAGTTGTCCAAAAGCCTGCCAGGAACAAATGTGCCGTGATGGTTCCTGCAGCCAACAACCATCCCCATGATCGCCTTGCAAATATGACCGAAACACCGTAAAGCATGACAAGGGCGACACGTCGAGCAGTTCGGCGAAATGCTGCAGGACGCAATGCGACCACTTCCACCGCATCCTGGTATCTGCGTTGGTTGCTCTTGCGAATAACGCACGGCTGCGACAATCGACTGCTTCGACTGCGCTGCTCTCCACAGCTGAGGGATCGCGGAGCCAGCAACGATGGGACTTCGTATCCAGGGAGGCGACAGGCTCGGCCGGAGCACGGCAGGCCCAAATCCAACATCCGGCACTACACGAAGACACTCTAAGTGATCTGCGTGTGTGGATTTCTGCACAATGGGAAAAGGTCACAATCTGCGAAGGGACCACCACGACAAGCACAACGAAGCTATCGCCGACCTTGGTTTCATGCAATGCTGCATGACCATGCTTCATCTTCATCCGAACAAGGTCGTGAATATTCAAAACAAAGCTGGGGAAATTTTCAGGCTTGCATGGCTCTTGTCGACCACCTCATTCTCTCCCACAGCTTGGACTTTAAAGACTGCCATGCAAGGATATGCTGGAACTTCAAGGGCAGCTTGGGAAGTAGGGGAAATGGAATGGGAATGAATGCGGGGACAAAATTACTAGAGCGTACCGAGCTCCATTTTCAGGACATGTTGCGGAACGCTCGTGGTTCAAGTGCATGTCATGGCAATTTAAAGTACAGTTTGGATTATTTTGGCAATTGGCTTTTGGGCACCGAATCTCCTTTCACGTTTGTTTTCGCACCTACAAGTAGCTTGCGTATTCACGTGACACCATGGTTGCTGCTGTCACCGCGTCGGCTGAAACCCATCGGGGCTGCATTGGTCAAGCTGGCGGAGATTATGCGCTGTGCTGCAACTCCCAAAGTCGAATCATGGTGCTCTTTCAACGCAATGAAGACTCATGGTAATCCGATTGAATGCAAATCCGCTTTGATTCATTTGGGAAGCCTACAGGATGAATCTGGAGATATTGGGCCGCAGCTCAATCGAGGGCGGCTCTTCCAGAGCTAATTTTCAAGCTCTCAGTCAAGTTGCGAAGCATAGTTTCATCAAAGCCCGTCGCAAGGTTCGCGCATCTTAGATGCATGCACTGCTTCCCAATTGCTCGTCTACATACAGCTTGGCTGAACAAGCATCCCTTCGAAAATTGGGTGGCTTTCGAGCTCGATGTTTCCGAAACATTATTGGGAACCCGCACTACTACCTCCAACATGGAGGTTCTGAAAGAAGCCGTGTCCCAAATTTGGCGTCTATAAGTCTATATAGGGCATAGTAATCTCTGCCTGTGATGCAGTTGTCTCCTTCGGACGCCCTTCGTCGTTGGAAGCTATGCCTCCTTTAAGTAACTGCATAGACATGCCACACAGAAGCTGCTTAGATGCCTGTTCCCGAGAAACCGCCCCAAACAAAGGTGAACCTCCCGGGTAGCCAGCTAGCTGTACCACGGCCATGCCACCCGCACCATGCCTCCGTCAAATTCCACCGCCGCACCTCATGACGAGCCATTCGGTAAACTTTGCAGGACCACCTGCATGAGCTTTCGCACAGGAATTTCACGGTGGCCACGGCCCGTGTTATGAGGCTGAATGCTATCTAAGCCTGGAATGTGTTGAAACAGCAAAAAAAGATGAAGATTGGAAGGAAAAACAACCAAAGTTGGACGTCGCCTTCATGTCAATTTCAAATTTGGGCAATACAAAATTTGGTTTATTTTGGCTTCTTAAAAACGACTAGTTTATTTCTTCTTGAATCCCCTGCCGGAACCGAATCTGCTTTAGATGGGAAATGTGTCTGAGGCCGATTGGGCCCTACCAAAAACGGAAATTAAAAAGGGAATAATGCAAAACACACAATGAGCAACATAGAAATAACACAGGAAACAATAGAAACCGAAATAGAGGGCCAATAGAAAGTGTCGTTGAGCACCGGCCCCATTTGTGTGCCATGTTCCTCCTGTTTTGTTTTTTTTTCGGTTTTTGTTTTGAACTCATTATTTTCTGTATTGGCGTAGCTGTAACATGTTCCAGGCTTAGATAGGAATTCAGCCTCGCAAGACTCGTGGGGCGAGCGGCAGCGCCAGGCGCAAGCAACGGAGAAGGAGCACCCGGAGCTTTGCTGAGGGGATGGTGACTGCTTCATGGATAGAACTGACCGCAAAACACCGCAAAGCAGCAGGCGGCGCGGGGACCTGCCTGGGACAGCAACGGGGGCTCGAACGCGTGCTGGTCACAGGAACCCGTTGTCTCCAAAGTAACGAGTATTGTCCGTACAACCTGAGGCGCAGTTGATGTCATGATTGCCACACAGTGTCGACCTGCTTCTTGTGGAAGTATGTAACCATTCTCTCCAACAAAGAAAGTGCATCTGGAGTGCCAAGATTAGACATGTAGTCTCGCAGCCCATCGTACAGTCTGAAAGCTCTTGCGTTTCTGATGCCCTCTTGAAGCGGGAATCTCGTCACAATCGCCTCTGCAGGCCCTCCTTTTTGGCTTTGCGAAAATGCTGGGCAGCTGGGTACACCCGACACATCCTCATACATCTTCGGAAGCTACATCACTTCCAGGGTCCCATGAGGATCTGGGGGACGCGTGGGAGCGTCGAACCTTTTTGCCCTGGCTGTGTCGTCAACCTCAAACACATGTCTTCTGGTTGGTCTGATTTTGGACATTGCAGGTCTTGGCAGATCTACGGTCTTCGGTCCATCCGGAATCCTTGCCAGTTTCGTTTGACTGCTCGAGCATTCGAATTGGGTGCCCGTGGTTGCGATCTGCAGCCAATACTTATGCGCATCGTTTGAGTGTTGACGACCTGCCGCAAAGATGGAGCCTCATTACACTCGATACACTCACTTTCACTTGAGACACCCCTAGCCCCAATCCATCAAATGCAGAAAACCCAGATCTTCCTGCTAGGCGACGTCATGTCCGGCACTCTTCGAGCTCGGGACTAACCACTAACCGGCTCTCAGCAACTGAGCCTAAACGCTGCCGAAGACAGAGGGTTTACTCATCGTCGAACACACATGCTGAGTATGCAAACGCAGCGTCATTTGGAAACACTCTCGGAGGACTGACGATCGCAACATGTTCAGCTACATAACCATTCTGCAAAAGTTCGATCGCATCGAAACATGTGCTTCTTGAGATCGTTCTCATCAGTCGCACATAAACCTGTTGCACCATGAACCTCCCATGACGATGCGAGCCATTGGGTACATGCTTGAATGGCTGCGGCAAAGAAAGGCTGTCCACTTTCAGGTGCCTTGGAACAATGTTTCTCACTTCTGCTTCTTGGTTTCCTTTGGTGAAGGCTTCTCCTGCTGTCAGTATCGAGGTGTTCCGCCATCATCAGCCCTCAACTATGTCGGCCTTCTTCGCATCGGTCGCCGGCTCAGGTTTGGGCGCTCGCCATTTTCTGCATCGGATGGGCGCCGGGCGTACACTGAGACTTGACAAGATCACCGTTGTGATTTTCAGACTTCGGGTCTCCTCCACAACCAGTCAACGATGTAGTAGAGCGGCAACTCAGCCAATGCATTGGACGGAGTGACTTGTCATCGGACGATTTTAATTTATGAGAGGAGGTCTGGGAAGCAAGCTGCAATGGTATCAGGAAGCAGACCCCCAAGCACACCGCAGGTACGCACGCAGACCCAGAAACAAGAGTCACAGACACAGGTCCGGCAGGAAGCAACGACACGAACAACAACTCATCATTTGATCAGCTGTTGTGTCGAGGAGACGGAATCAAAACAACCGGAAAGAAGAGCTCCAGATTTGATCGCTGCATATCGCTGCAGTCATACCCTCTCGTTGCCAACCAGACACGCAATATTGGCAAGTAGCTGCCCTACAGGAACCCTGCGAGAATGTTACATGTTAGTTCCACAGATTTCGATGCATATCGGCTGAGACAAAGGCTGGCAGTGCAAAAACCAGGAAGAACCTTGGGCACTTCCAGGCTGTGCAGATCCAAACAGCTCAATGGCACTGGGAACCGAACAAAGGCGGACCGCGCTTTGTCCAGTGGTTGTTTTTGACAGCAACGTCTGCCTGATTGTCGAAACTTAGAACAAGCCAGAATCAATTGCTGTGTAGGGAACACCAAAACATCTCCCCAAAGATCTACGGAGTAGTTTACCAACAACTATCGCTTCGCAGCTTCGCACCACTATTCTAGAAGCCTGACCTTGACAAACGACTGCTCCCATGAAGTTGGCCCGGCATGGCCCGACCTGCGCTCGCATCAGGTCCCAAAGCTTGTCAGACTGCTCCCGCACCTGCAATTGGCCAGCTCACATCACAAAGCCATGTATGCCACGACTCTGAAATCATGTAACATCATGCACCGCCTCCTCTGCGGCGTCTTCGCCTGACGCAATTACGTATGTGTCATCATCGCCACTGGAAGGTGGCATGGTGGCACTGTCAAGACTACAGCATCCAGAACAACGCATGCCAGGAGCGCTATCTGCGTCGTCCGCCCATTCCTGAAACACAGACCGGCACAGCCGCCATGCCCGCTGCCGACCCTGTCTGAGAGGCAGTCTGTTGGCATCTTCGGCGGCCTCTTGCCTCACTCTGTGACAGTGGTGCCTTCTGCTGGCATGTGAGGTCCGGGCCTGTCTTCATGGCTGCCATGACTTGCTTCAACAGATCGAGCGCAAGTGAAGATGTCTCACCTGGACGGAACGAATCCAAAGACAGTTAGGGAAGTGGAACCTCATTTCCGCTGATTCCTTTCTTCCATCGGGGTCGGAGCTTCCAAAAGGTCTTAAGTGGAGGTGTTGAGTCTGACTCTATTGCAAAGGGCTCTTTTCTACCAGCCAGCATTCCAGCTTTCGTGGCTTTTCCCTCCATTGTACTCTGCTCCCTGTGATGGTCCACTGCGCAGCTAAGGCTTTGTCAAGTCCAAGGTCTTCCCCGATCTCGACTAGTACCGTCGCTTCATGCTGTTGACGGATCTGCAGCTTTGGTTGCAGGATGTAGGACTAAGCTCAGCACTGAGGCTAGAGGTTGGGACTCCCGCAAAGTCGCCTCCTTCTGCTCGCTTTCGAACGCACACGTTTACCATGCGAAAGAGCTTCAGCTCTGCAGCCTGCGGCCCATGCAACTGCATGTCTGGCAACTTACTCTTGGGAACCGACATCCTAGAGTACGGCAGCAACTTCAGGGCACCACCGTATGTCGGTCGAGCTCGCAAAACATCAACAAACTAGTCTCCAAGGTCCATATGCACCCAGCAAGAACCTGCATCTGCAAAAGTGTTCGTCGTTGAAGCAACAAGCCGCACCTCTTCAGGTGGCAAATCGTTGGCCACAAGACGCCTTTGTTGCAACGCCGGGTTGGTTGAGCAGCCGATGCAGCTGTGCTGGAGCTACCTTTTAAGATTGCTGCCTTTGAAACCAGATTAAATACAGCATGCCCGACCGTTTTTTGGGTGAACCAGTGTCAGCTCTTTGATGGCTTCAGCTAATGTCAATATCGCATAACATTCAGTCTGGGACGGTGTGCGGGGCACTGCTGGTCACTGCTGCTAGGCTTGCAGGACCTGGAGGCTGTGCAAGGTTGTCGTCCGTCGTAGCCCGGAAAAGCCGCCTGTTTCCAGTCGAGCATGCACGGAATCCAAGAATACTCGAGGCTCGAGACCTGTTGCAGCCTCTGTCGAAGCTCAGGATCACTGACTCTCATCCCGAAGAAAGTGTCGATTTTGGAGCTTTGGACCGCTACCATTACACTATGGTTCTATGTATGACACTACCCCACCATGGCTCGCTGGCCGAAGCATAGCTCCGTACTCGAGGCTGTCCATGATCTGTCTGGTGAAGCCCAGGAATTCTGTTGCCAGGGCAAAGCCTTGGAAGGCTTCAGCAGGAAATCCATCTAAACTAGAAGTCGCCTGAGCGGAACGAGAATCGCGCAAGTGGCCGTCCAGGCTGCATCGGCCTGAAAGTTTGACCGCCGCTGAATCTGAGGCTGTGGGATTGCTCCATGGAAGAGAGCAAAGAGCCAGAGGTGCATCATCGAGGTGCTTGCGAGACCTGGCGGGATCGTCACTTCCATAACTAAGCTCACAGTGGAGGGAGCACTGCCTGTCAAACTCCTCCCTTGCCGTATCCAAGTTCAGCTTTTCTTGCTTCAGCTCCTATGGCTGCACTGCAATGCCCCGCAGGTGTGACGAAAAAGGCCACCAAAATTGACACCTCCAGCTGCTTCAGCTGCTGATCAATAAATTCCTGCATGTCCTGTGAGAAAGCATGCAGCCGTGCGCACGATCAGACTGCGTGACAGGAAGTTGCACGCGGAAAAAAATCTCATAAGGCACCTCCTCGGATTTTTCCATCGAAGCCTGGCAGAAGATGTGGCTAAGCTCGACTCCTCCGACTGACTGCTGCACTCTGCTGCCTTGAGTTCTTCGAGACTATCTTGAAGCTCTTGCGAGAGCACACCTCACTCGGCTTCTCTCACCGGTCCTACCTTGAACAGCATTTCCCGACCAAAACACAATCATGGAATTCCATATCCAGAGCAAAGCAAACGGCTTTCGCTTCCATTGCTTTGGGCTGCCACGTGCAGCCAACCTCGGGATGCGACCAAGCCACAAAGCCAAAGACGTAAACCGCAAGACTTTGCAAAGGCTCGTCAGTAATGAACCGAAGCGATGTGCGGAGGGACATCGAGGCTTGCGAAAAGTAAGGCCTCTGCAGGATGCCAACCTCACTTCTCAGGGCCCGTGCCATGCTTCTGCCATGGAGGTGTTCACACGGACGCGCAACGCTGCAGCTCAGCGTCTGACAGCCATGTGCCCAGGATGGGACTGGTGCACCACTTTAAAAAGCCCATGCCCGAGCACAGGCGCAAGTCAGCGGTATTCTGCTTTGTACGGATATGCGATTTCGGGGCAATGCTGATTAGTAAACTCACTGGAGAAACCACTGGCTCTCACTTTCTTGAGGGAAATCCGCGGAGAGGTAACACTCACACGTGGAACGGATTCATTGGCACCTTTCAGCGGACGATCAGATACAGGTTTCAATGCGAACATGGATCTAAAGTCAGGAGAATGCATCCTATGTCTCGCACATCAGGGAGAAAGTCACTTCCTGTGATTCACACTTGACACAATGTGTCGCCAGGTCTCGATTCAGCCCTGCAAAATCAAATCGGTCTTAGTGGGGTTCTGGGCGCTGCCCCATGCCATCACAGTGCAAAAGAACTCTCACTCCAGGCAGGATTTGCACATGCCCAGTGAACATCCACGATGCCACCGGAGGATGAGTTGCACGATGTTACAAACAGAGCGGGTATGTCAGTTCGGCGTCTCGGAGTGATACCAGAGCCTCTTCGTTGAGCAATGAGCAGATTGCCCCCCCAGCTGATTGCATACACCCTATGACTATGTCGACTATGTATCCCTTGGAAACAGGGGTGGACACATCCACATCCACACCCGCACCCGCACCCACACCCACA